TCCTCATCGAATAAAAATCCTTCAATCTAAGTTTTGAATGAATGAAAAGTAAAATAAATATGTGGCTCAAAGACCAGCGTGCGAGAACTGAGTTGCAGTTCTTGATGCATTGGCATCAGAACTAGGGAAAGTGGGGGGTGTGTATCGCTGAGATGGTTTGCGCCTGAACCTTGTCAAGGCTAGTGTTCTAACAATCAAACAAATAACCAGGAAGGTAGAGAGGGCTTTGAACTAAACAAGAGGAGTCAGGGGTCAAGCTTAAGTCGGTGCACCAAATCAAGCTGTAGAATCAAAGCAGTAAAGCAAAATGGAAATTCACAAAAGTCTGGTCTGCAATGGGATCTGGGTGTCTTGGTGCATAAAGTTGGTATGCAGGTACAGCAAGTAATTAAGGTGGCTAATGGAATGTAATCCTTTTTACAAGGGGAATTGAATGTAAAAGGAAGGATATGATGCTTCTGTTGCACTGAGCATTGTAGTTCAAAACACAAACACAAACACAATAGATTTTATTGAAAGACAGACCGGGACTGAGGGGCCAAATGGCCTACATCTGCCCCTAATTTGTATTTAAGAATGCAAATTTTAATCTCAACCCCAATATCAACAACTGTTGGAGGAGGATTACAAATTTCCAAAGCCCTTTGTGTGAAGAAAATTTCACAATGTTGCCTATATAGTCTCGCTCTAACCTTAAGGTTATGTTACCCTTGTTTTGGATTCCACCCTATTTGTGAAAGTAGTTTGTTCCAATCCTATCAAACATTTTGATCAAACGCTTTGGATAGACTTTAAGTCTAACTCCTGGCTGCATGGAACATGCCTTAATTCTGAGAGTCTGCCAGTGATGGGAAAACCTCCCATAGTTAAGTTGGAGACAGGAAAGGCCATTAAAGAAACTTACCTGCTTACAGTGGGATGTTGATTCAGCTTATTGAGACAATCAGTGCCAATTATCCCTGACCACACTGGAATTTGAAACTTTAGTCAAAATCCTGGAACTCCCTTCCGAGCAGTACTGTGGCTGTGTCGACACCACGTGGACAGCAGCAGTCCAAGAAGGTAGCTCACCACCACCTTCAAAAAGGTAGTTAGGAGTTAGCAATGCACGCTCCAGCAATGCCGTATACTGTGGACCATTTTTTGTAAAAAAAAAAATCAGTGGTGTCTCAGGACCAGAACAGGAATCACACAGCTTTTCTGTGCTTTCAGAAGGGCTCCCAGAAAACCAGTTTACTGAAATTACTGGAAAAGCTCAACATCAGTTAACGTTTCAAGTCTAGTGACCCTTCCTCAGAACTGATGTAGAAAATAGGGTGGAAGGAGGGGTTAAGGAGTAAACAATAGGTGGAGATAGAACCCAAAAAGAGAGAGACCAGTTAGACAGACAAAGGAATGGATAAAGACCAGCCTGGGAGAATGAATAGCTGCCAATGGGGACTATTAGTGGCTAACAATGCGTTGTGTGTAATAGCAGACTATGTGATAACAAGTCTGGTGTGTGGGGGTTGGGGGGTAAAGACATTAGAGAAGGTGCCACAAGCCCTAAAATTGCTGAACTTGATATGGAGTCCAGAAGGCTGTAGAATTCCCAAGCGCTGAGCTTTATTGGAGCACTGCAGCAAGCCTGAGACAGAAAATGCTGGCCAGGGAACAAGGTGGCCATTGCCAGGCTGTCAGCACATTAAGAAGGAAAACGGAGATGCTGTTAGCCACCCACCCTTTAAAACCTCATCTCTGCTTGTGTCTGGTCCTCACCTCCAGTGTCTGGAGCATTACTAGAAGCAGCTACGACTCCCAGTTTCCAACTGGGCCAACATCACCCAAATTAAATCCCAATCTTCAAAGAGATGACCTCATGATCCTCTATCCTCACAGAGATTGAGACCAATTAATGAAACCCATCCTTGTGTCGTAGGGAGCTTTGTCTTTTGGATTTATACCAAAAAGGGACTAAGTTTAAGGCTTTGTTTCACTTTATTGCTCTGGGTTAGGTTCCAGAGATCAGCACATTATGGCAATACTAACACCTAGTGTCAATACAGGACAGTTCACTCAAGCATTCAGTAGCAGCAAGATGTAGTCATGCTTTCGTTTGTAATGGTTTCCTACCCTCACTTATTTCACAGAGCAAATAAGTGACAACCTCACTTGAATAATGGCAATTCTGTTCAAATGGTTTGCTGGAGGATACACTGAACTCTAGCAGTTGAGGGAGTTAAACGGATATCAGTGATCGCATGGACTAACCTGGGGGTGCTCCACTGATCTCACCTTCAAAACCCTGCACATCAACTCAGTACTCTCACCTCACCAGAGTCAGTTGTCTTCAGCAGTCATTCGAAAGAAATTGGACAGACTTCAAAATGGATGACCAAAAAGTGTCTGATTGGAGGTTTCTTCCAAATATTGGATGACATACTAATGGGGACACCTTAAAGTTCATGGTTATGCTCATATGGGTTAATCCAGCTCCAAATTGTACGTGAATTGGGATTACAGCAGGAGAATGAAAGAGAAAGACATTCCCTTGGAAAATTATAAACATTCCTTGTACTCAAATTTATGATATTGCTATAAGTAGACAACAGAGAAAGTCTTGCTTTACATTCTGGTTTATCAAAGGAAAGTTTGTTACTAGACCCAAAACATTTCCATGTAATTTAGGTATCCTGCCAAACAATTCTCAGATGTCAGCTATATGTGGCTATGCAGTGAATAACCCAGTGATTATATATTGCAGTGATATTTATATTGGCTATGCCACCCTAAATACTCCCGTGATCAGAACTGGCCAGCCACATACAGATTTGGAACAGAAGCCACTTATCTATTTATTTCAATACCAAACCAGCATTAACTTAACTAACAGCCAAGTCCAATCCAATGGAGTCAACAATTGACTAGCATTCCATTTTATCTTTGACACACTATTTGGTAAACCCACGACATTCCCAAAGCAGAATTATGCGTAGTAACAGTACTAGGATAGGAACAGGTCAAGTCTGTAGCATCCTTCCAAGGAATGGACTTCAATCTTTGTCTGACGCTTATTCCTAGGTCACTAACTTACCAGTGAAGCCACATGCTTCCGCAAGAAGAAAGGTGCTCCACGACATCAAGAAAAACAGTGCGGTCTCCAGGAGAGGGAAACAGTGCAGTTTGGTAAATTTGGTGACGTGGGACAGCAGCAGTTAAGGCAATAGCTGAAGATCAGAATGCAAAAAGAATCTCATTCAAAAGACAAATCACCTTTTCTAGAGAAAACACCAGTCCTATTGTTGACTGGGAGCATTGCTCAATCACGAGTCGTTTGGGATCTAGGGATTCTTTTTCACTGATCAGTTGGAACAGGTGTTTTATCTCTCTGTCCTTGAGGCAGGGAATAGTTTGGAGTAAGGCATGTAACATGCCGAGGTCAACCAGAAGCTAACGGATATTACTCAGGGAGCTTTCTCTCTCCTATGTTCTTTTGAGACAAGAGTCCAACATCCAGGGCTCCATTATGATTATTTTCTGCTTTCTGGATATATTTAAACCAAGGTCTGGGAGGGGAAGGGGGCACATTTATGGTGTTGGGCAAGAAATGTGGGAGGGTGAAGAAAGAATTAAAAAAAAAAAAAAAAACCACAGCCAGTGGTAATGACTTAGAATTTGCTATTTATTAGTGCGGCAGCCTAGACTCACTGGTCCGAATGAGTTCCTGTCGCGTAACGGATCTGTCACAATCAAACATAGCCATGACCTACAGTTTTAATATGTGACTGTAAAAGAGACAAATCATTTGTATAATATAAAATCCCCAGTCAACTAGCAGAATTAAATTTCTTCTAATTATAAACATGTGAATTTACAACTATGAAGCCTGTGAATGTCCTTCTACAACATCTGCATGTCATGTTCTCCATTAGGGAGTCACCAATAATGAACCAACAATGACATGTTGTACATTATTCTTCAGCCAACGCATGATCTGAATAGTTGTTTTCTTTGAAATCAATCATGGGATGTGGGTGTCGCAAGCTCGACCAGTATTTATTACCCATCCCTAATTGCCCAGAAGGCAGTTGAGAATCAACCATGTTGCTGTGGGTCTGGAGTCACGTGTAGGGCAGACCAGGAAAAGATGGCAGTTTCTTCCCTATAAGGACATTAGTGAACCAGTTAGTTTTTTATAACAATGGTTTCATGGTGATATTAGACTCTTAAAATCTCTGGATTATTAAGCTAATGATAATACCATAACGATGATAGGCCATCCCCTCCCCTCATTTGCTTTCGGAATATAGCCACCGCTGGCAGGGCTGTATTTATTGTCAACCATTGTCACCGTCAAAGTGATTGTGGTTGCCTATTGTTCTCGAAGAGCTTGGGGTAGCACTGCTGCCTCACAGCACCAGAGACCCGGGTTTGATTCTACCCTCGGGTGACTGTCTCTGTTGAGTATGCACATTCTCCCCGTGTCTGTGTCGGTTTCCTCCCACAGTCCAAAGATTTGCAAGCTAGGTAGATTGGCCATGCTAAATTGCCCGTAGTGCCCAGGGATGTGTAGATTCGGTGGGTTATAGGGGGAGGGTCTAAGTGGGATGCTCTGAGGGTCGGTGTGGACTTGTTGGGCCGAAGGGACTGTTTCCACACTGTAGGGATTCTATGATTCAGCTTACCCGGAGGCCTGCACCAGTCACTAACTGTGTAGTTAACCACACAGGGTGGCACGGACCATAAGGGTGACAGTGGATTTTAAACTAGCTCAATATTGACCAGACCTATCAAATTAAATTTCCTACCCTGCTTTGGTGGGATGTGGGCAGTTAGACTCTTGACTAGTTATAGAATAACTGTGCAATGGGTAATATAGTTTGCACCAAGAACTTGGAATTTTTAACAAATATAATCCAGAAGTTGGTGGTCCAATTAATGCCTCTTGATTATGATCTTCACACCTGCAGGTACATGAATAAACGCGCACAAGTACTGGCCAGTAATTTTCCAGAAAATCCACTTCTGTGAATGAATCTCCGCTGGGCTGGTCTTCATCAATACTTGAAGTAAATCTGTAATAGCACTCCTGAACTACTGCTGTGGTTACACACAGTGAAACATCAGCCTGGCCAAACTCAACAGTCCAACAAAGCTCCCATGTCAGTGGCGTAATGTGATGTTTTGACTGCATTAAAAACGTAGCAAGTTCTCCAGTTTTAGCTGCAGGTGAAAGCCACAGATTTGGAGGGAGAAGATTCCTCCAACGACGCTAGATTCAGATACCAGCAGCACTCCATCCTCAAAGAAGGAACAGGCTTTTCGTTCAAGCTCTAATTCAGATACATTATCCGGGATTCAGCGCGTAACTCGTGTGTTGAGCTGTCAGAGGTAACGGCCTCGTGGTGTTATTGCTAAACTATTTATCCAGAAATTGTTCTGGGGACGCGGGTTCGAATGATGGAATTTTTAGTTCAATTGCAACAAATTCTGGAATTAAGAATCTACTGATGACTGAGAAACCAGTGCCAATTGTTGGAAAAAATCCATCTGGCTTACTAAAGTCCTTCAGGGAAGGAAACCTGCCATCCTCAACTGCTACATTTGACTCCAGACCCACAGGAATGTGGTTGACTCTCAACTGCTGTCTGAAGTGGCCTAGTAAGCCACTCAGTCCAAGGGCAGCTAGGGACATGCAGTAAATGCTGGCCAACCAGCAATGCCCATGTCACACAAATATTTGAAAAGTGCCAACAGGGTGTAGTTGCTGGTGCACATAAAAGATCCCAGGGCACTACCTGAAGCAGAGCAGGGAAACTATCGCAGCGACTTGGATAGCTTTATTCTCTGAGCCACCATTTAAAAAAGAAACAAATCATTAGGTTATCTATAGTACTGCTGTTTGGGAGGTCTTTCAAATGTGCAAATTTGTTGAAATTTTATCAAATTTATAGCTGGTTTCGTTAGATGCAAGACGCTTTGACTAATCCATATCTGAGGATGCGAAAGGTGTTACATAAATGCAAGCTCTTTCATTATTCCATTGGCAAAAAAAAAGTGCCTTTGCAAACACTACAATGCAAATTTGCTTTAACACAGTTGTCAAGCTCCAAAAAACAAACGAGACTGTGTTGTAATGGAACAGCAAATAGGAAACTGGGTCAGGCTGTGAAGGAAGTCAGGCAGGGGGATGTTGGGGATGAGGCCAAGGTTGGGAGAAGGGGTCGAACCAGTAGGGGAGTAGGTGGGGCGGCAGTGCTGAGTTGGGGTTTGTCTAGTCCAGGTGGAGAAGGGAGTCAGAAGGCATGAAACCCCTTTGCTGCAAGCAAACCCGCAGGGTTTTGATCACCATTATAACCAGAATCTGGTGTATTTGGATTAACCACCACAATCATAGTAAAAGGATATCAGAGCAGTGAGCACTCCAGTTACCGCCCCCATGGCAAAAGAGCCACTGAATATTCCGAGGAAGACACCCACACACTTGAAGAAAGCTGCTGCATCAAAGGTGTGGCTGTTCTCACCCGCTGGCTGGTAAGCAACAATTGACCTTCATAGAAACAAAAAAAAAATCTTTTACATACAGACAGGTAGAAAGACACATACAAACATACTCCAATTCACTTTCCTCATGGTATAAACATATTATTCAAAAATGGCTTTCCCACCCTCCTCTGTTCTGAAGACACAAGTTCAAGTTATTTATTTTATGACAGACTCCAGCCACAATTCACCGTCACCACAGGTTTCACCGTTCCACTAGTAATTCACACAATTTACTCTGCTGTGAGTCATCACAGAGAACATGTGAAACAATTGTCTTTTTCAATATTTGAAGTAAAATGTCCACTTACGATGACAGCACAATGGCCACAGCGTCATTCAACACACTTTCCCCAAACAGTAGAGCATACAGGTCAACATCCACTTGAAGCTCATTAAATATGGCAAGAACAGTCACTGTCAAAACAAAAAAAAAAAAAAAAAAAAACAAAATAAGGCTGGGAACATGAAATAAAAACAGAAATTGCTGGAGTCAGTGTAGAAGTAACTCAGCAGGTCTGGCAGCATTTGTTTTTAAAATCAAGAGAATGTGGGCATCACTGGCCAGGCCAGCATTTATTGCTCAACGCCAACTGCCCGAAGAGTTAGCCACATTGCTGTGGGTCTGGAGTCACACGTAGGCCAGACCGGCTAAGGACAGCACATTTCCATCCCTAAAAAAAAGCATTACTGAGCCAGATAGGTTTCTGCAACAATTGACATGATTGCCATTAGACTAGCTTTACTCTTCTCCCACATTTTTATTGAATTTAAAAATGTTACCACCTGCCAAAGGATTCAAATCATGTCCCCAGAACATTAGCTTGGGGTTCTGGGGACATTAGCTAGTCTAGTGACATTGGCACCACACTGACCTCCCCTTCAGAATTGAACCTCAAAAGAGGAGCCGTATTGGACTGGAAATGCTAACTCTGATTCTCTCTCCACAGATGATACCAGACCAACCGAGGTCGTCCAGAAAATGAAACCGGACTTGGAAAACCTTCACTCCAATTCATGAACATTCAAGGCTTCAAAAGCTAAAGAAAAGAAAGAATCAACAATGGTTTCAGAGGCCAACTTTGGGGAGATAGTTTCCAAATCCAGTGTTACACCCAAGTCTCAACTACTCTCTTGACTAGCCTTTCAAGTTCCAAACCCCCTTAACTTCAACACATCCAAAACACCGCTGGCCATATACTAATTCTCTCAGTATTGGTAGAATCTTCCAGAGTTGGAAGACATGTTAATTAGCTGAAGGCCCCCACTACCCGCTCCGAATTCAGTGCTGATACCGGATTGTCGAGTTTGGGCCACCTGTTATCAAGTGAGACCCTTAAGTGGACAATTAATGACTAATAATTATAGGTCAATTCCTGTCTGTGCTGCAATTATCTTAGCTCCAGGTGGGACAAAAACATGAATGGACAGTGAGGGCTGACTCTCCGTTACGGGAAAGGGGTGAAGTCCCTCAATCTGTGGTAATTAGTGGAAAATTAAAAAGGACCCAAGATAGGGCAGGGGCTTGGCCACTGAGCGACCCCTAAACATCTGTTCAACCCCAAGAAACCCTTCCCTCCCTCCCCCGATAAAGGATTTACCTGCCCAACTGGAAGAAAGTGTGGGGTTGTGCCTTGCTGTGAGAAGTTGGCTGTCTTGATTAGAATCCCTACAATGTGGAGACAGGCCACTTGGTCCATCGAGTCCACACTGGGCCTCTGAAGAGTATCCCACCCACTTCCGTAACCCTGTAAACCTGCATTTCCCAGGGCTAACCCGCTTAGCCTGTACATCCCTGGACACTGAGCAATTTAGCTTGGCCAATCCACCTAAACTGCACATCTTTGGACTGTGGAACGAATCCTGTGGAAGGAAACCCACGCAGACACACAGAATGTGCAAACTCCGCACAGAACATCACCCAAGGGTGCAATCGAGTCTCTGGCACTATGAGACAGCAGTGCTAACCACTGAGCCACCATGCTACCTAGCCAGTTACTCAGCAAGTGAGCCAGATCTCTGACAGAAATGGAAGATTCTGACCTATGTCCCAGTAATGCAGCACAATTTCCAAATTAGCAGATGACAAAACTTGCAAGGGTTATAAACATGGTGGAAAAAGGACCAGGTAAATTTCTGAAGGTTATAAGCAGGCTGCTGTAACGGATGAGCCCATGACATTCTGTATTGAATAAAATAAACAAAAAGAGAACATGTGAGACATGCTAAATGATCTGGTTTTGAAGGAGATGAGAAGAGAGAGAGAGAGACTGAGACTTGGGAACACTAGTACATAAATTTTAGAAGGCAGCAGCCTGGTTAACAAAGCAGTTAATAAACACACATGGGAAGCTGAAGTATATAGGAGGTAGAGAATACAAGAGTGGAAACTTATGCTATTCTGATACAAAACACCAGATGGCCCCAGTTGATGTACAGTAGTGTATCCCAATGTGGGCATTGCACTTTAGGAAAGGCCTGAAGGCTTTGAAGATGATAAAGAAGAGATGAACTACAGTAATGGTGAAAAATAAGAATAGGGCATAGTGAGCTGAAACAGATTTCTAAGAATTTTGAAGAACTCCTATATTTTCTTCTTTGCACACTAAAATTTCACCTTCACAAGACCTCCTCAAGACAAAAACAAAGAACAAAAGACATCTCAAAAGATAAAGATTTGATACGATAAAGATTCACAAAAACATGCTTCAACCAGCTTCACAACTTTAAACTCATCTACAACAACACTTTTCCTCATTACCCAGTACTCTTTCGATCAGTCTTGTTGCCTTTTTTCAACATTATTTAAAGCAAATTTCCCTTCTGTCATGGTACCCAAAACTGAAAAGAATATTCGAGGTATTCTCTGATCAGAGCAGTTTATAGTCTTCGCATGGACTCAGGGCCAGTCACTAACTCATATTTTACACTGTGTGGATTTGATGAGTTTGAGTTAGGGTAAGCACTTAATTAAATAGCTTGGAGATAGCAAGAACTGCTGATGCTGGAGTCGGAGATAACAAGGTGTGGAGCTGGATGAACACAGCAGGCCAGGCAGCATCAGAGGAGCAGGAAAGCTGACGTTTCAGGTCTGGACCCTTCTTCAGAAAAAAAAATTAGATAGCTTCCCTTTTCCACCATATCCAATACCCTTCCTCATCATTTCATGACATGTTCAAAAACATGCATTTAGTTTTTCACCATTGATGCAGTTCTAACATTTTTCGTAGTGACGACACTCAAGAAATAAGTTAGTCTGTCCTTCGATCCTATAAGTTTTGCAGAGTCAATTTGTGAGGACCAATTCTACATTCAAGGCTGAAATATGGACCTTGAGAAGATTGAAAACCTACTGACATGGACATTTCACAACGTGTCACTGTAGAAAGATAGAGTGGGTCACACAGTCAGTTAGAAAGGTTACAAAAAGCACACAGGAAGTTGAGGATTTTGGAAGAGGAAAGATTATGATTGAGTGAGTATCAGAAGATGACAGGGAAGCTGATTGAACCATCTAAAATTCTAACATCCCTCTAATCTACACATCTCTGAATACTATGGGTAATTTAGCATGGCTAATCCACACAGCCTGCATATCTTTGGATTGTGGGAGGAAACCTACGCAGACACGGGGAGAACGTGCAAACTCCACACAGACGACAGTTGCCCAAGGGTGGAATCGAACCCAGGTCCCTGGCGCTGTGAGGCAGCAGTGTTAACCACGGAGGCACCGTGCCACCTAGCAGATGTGGGATTGTGGAAATCACAAACCTAACATCCATTTATCCCTCAACACGTCTGTGTTGATACATACCTGGATCAGTAGCAGATATGATGGCACCAAAAAACAGGCAGTCTGTGTAGTAAAACCCATCTTCAAGTTGTCCTACAGCATACATCAGCTTCACAATTCCATACATGAAGTTTCTAGAACAAGCACAAGAACTTAGGTTTTCCTTTTAAAAAGATCATTGGGAAAGGCAACAGGATAATACAGGGGAAGAAGTATGATGAAGATTCTCTAAACTCTTACTGTATCTCAAAAGAAACCAGTCGAGACACCGAATCTCTAGAGTTTCAACAAATATTCCATCATGTGGAAGACTAGAAAATCTGCCTCCCAAAATACACGGTGTTTCTTCTGGAATACCATTAACTAGTATTCAACTCCAGATGAACTGAACTTTGAGAGAGAGAGAAAGATTTCTAATTCTACAGCATTTTTTTGAGATTTACAGTGCATTATATCAAGGAAGCACTTTTGCAGTGTAGCCACTGTTGTAAAATAGGAAACATGATGGCTAATTTGCACACAACAAGCTCCCAATATCAGATAAATCAGACTTTTGCGATCTTGACGAGGGATACATATTGGTCACGACACTGGGGAAAAACTACCCAGTTTTTTGCTTCAAAATACAGCCTGTTACCATCCGTCAGAGTAGGCAGATGGAGCCTCAGTTTAACAGCATGTCTGACAGATAGCGTCTCTGATGGTGTAACACTCCCTCAGGAGTGCGTCAGCCTTGATTTATTTTTGTGCCTAAAGCCTGGAAAAAGGTTTTGGTGATTTGGGAGGAGGTGGGTTGGGGGGTTTGTGGGAAAGAGTGTAGAACCAACTGAGCCATGGCTATCACAGCTTGGGTCTCTTTCTACATTTTTTTTTAAAAACCACTAGAGAACAAAAGAAAAACAACATGAATATCACAGTGATCTTGTAAATAATATACGAGTAGTAAATAATCTGTAAGCAACACTGTAATAAATGAGATTTCAGTGCGTTAATGAAATGTTTTGAAGTTGCAAATCATATTTGGAATCTCAAATACAATAGTCGCACTGTCATTTAAAGGTTCTAATGGGCTGGCTTTCCTTATGCTACTTCATCTCACCTGATCCAAACCCTGGGATCCCCACATCTCACTGACATTCCAGATAAAGCAGAATATCCTTGAACCCCAGTCTGTTTGACTCATGATAACGTAATCATTTTTCATGAAACACATTCACATTATGGATTAAAATAGAGCTCTTAATTTTTTGAAACACTTCTATGAACAGTTTACATTACAAAGTATTGGACGATTTTCTCACAACATTAGCCACATGTTTAAAATCAGGATTTGATGCAGTGCAGCTAGTGTTTTATACCCTGCCCTGGCTTTTGCAGTGAGCAGGGCACTAATTGTGCCAGGGCAGTGCTTCCCAAACTTTTCTCCCCCACTGCAAACCCAATAGTGAGGCTTGAGAGTTGGTGTGTGCACACGCACGCATGTATAAATAAATAAAATATATGTGTGCATGGCATGCATTTGTACACATGTATATGTACATGCATGTATGTGTATGTGAGCATGTGTGCGCACACATATATATGCACATATTTACACAAGTGTATGTGTGCATGTGCTTGTGTAAATGTGTGCACGTGTGCACACGTGTATTCATATATATATTTTTATGTGTACATGTGTATACCTGTGTGTGGGTATGTTGGTCGAGACGGGGTGGGGGGGTAAAGAGAGAGTTGAGAGGACGGGGGGCCATTAGAATAGGAGCAAAGCCTTTATAACTTGGTTGCAGATCTGGGTGGGGTGTTGTTGATTCGCAGTCAGCCTGTTAATGAGTATTGCCAAAAAGGGATGATGAGGTGCTTCAATCAGCTCTTCAGTAAGGCACCCACAGTATGGATTAAATTCTATCCCATGCTTGTAAAGGAATAGTATAGACAATTCTTATGCAGCTACAGTATTGCAAGTAAACTTCTTTTATTCATAGTTTTGTGGAAAATTTGATAATATCATGGAATAGTTCAGCACAGAAGGGGGCTATTCAGCCTATTGAGCCCATTCTGGTCCTTCCGAACAGCAATCCAGTTAACTCACTCTCCCATCACAGAAACAAACTATCAACTCGACCAGATGAGCCTCCTCTCAGCTCCGCTTTATTTCACATGACCAACAATCCTGTAAATCCTTCCTACCTCCTCTATTTCCCTGAATTTGTTATTAGCTGACATTGACAAAGCGGTCACAGGAAAGGGAACACACAGTTAGACAAAATGTTGCAAAGGGATCACTACTACTGCATCCAATCATTTAGCTTTAAATGATAACACTGAGGAGAAGTAGTGGAGAACTTTGATAACCTTCACCTCACCACGCAGCGACTAAGTGAAATGGCACTGGCTGAGGAGTCTCTTTCAGTTATTCATGTTGAGCAGATACTCACCCTATGACAAAACAAGACACTGCAGTTCCAATAAACGCATATGCTAGGATAGAGCCAAGGTTCCTGAAGAAATGCCTCTGCAATGGAGAAGCAAAATAAGAGTTATAACATGTAATCGTCCAAGCTCATAGGGCAATCAATCATTCCGTATAGGAGGTGGCTACCGGGCCCATCTTAGTTGTGCCAACTCGTTACGTTATCCATATAGACCCAGTTCACTTTCCCTCCGTCTCTCTCTCCTCAGAGCAAAGATCATACTGGGAAGGCAGAAGTATCTAGAGTTGAAATGGGCATTCTAGAATCAGAGAAATTATGGGGCTGTTCTTTTGCCTCTAGCGTCAATTATGTACTTTTCTCGCACCAGCAGCCATTAGAGTTGCAGTGTATTTATATGGAAATAAATTACTGGGCCAAAAATACGACATTTGTGAAGGAAGTTGGCTTTTTTTCCAGGAAGTTTATCAACCTGATCAAAATATTTTATAGCACTACTCAATTCCATTTGAGGAGAGAACACTATTCCCTGAACATCAGGGTATTTTAGAAACCTTATGTAGTTGATTACAGCTTCAACCTTCAGCTTCTAAATTGCTCAAATATGGCCTTGTTGGTGGGATAGCATATTGTGGCAAGTGTACTTTTTTTTAATGCAGCTATTTAAAAAGATCACCTTCCTATCTGGCAGCTTTCAGAAACAGAAAAGGCTGGAAATAATCAGCAGGTCTGGTAGCATCTGTAGAGAGAGAGTGTAAAGAGTTAATGACATAACTGGGAAAAAAAATCATTTAAATGTAGTAGATTTTAAGCAAGTGAAAATGGAAAAGGTGGGCAAATGAACTACAGAGGAAATACAAAAGTGCAGGAGAATTCAAATGACAAGAGAGTTAATAAGTGTTAACTCATTTTTAGAGTGGTTAGGATCTGGAAAGTTTCATTCCAGATTCCCATCACCTGCAGAGCGAAATGTTTTTCCTACAAATCCTCTCTGAATCTCTGCCCCTTAGCCTAAAAGGCCCTCTTGGGGTTGATCCCTCAACCAAGGGGAACAGCTGCTCTCTACTCACCCTGTCCATACCCCTCAATCTTACACACCTCAATAATATTCCCACTCAGCCTTCTCAACTCTAAATAAAATAATCCATGCCTATCTAATCTCGCCTCATAGCTCAATTTCTCCATCTCAGACAATGTTCCGGTGTATCTCCTCTGTAACCCCTCTAGTGCTATCACATCCTTCCTGTAATGAGGTGACCAGAACTGCACACAGTACTCCAGCTATAGCCTGACCAATGATCTGTACAACCCCAACATTTCCTCCTTGTTCCTATACTCTATGCCATTACTGATGCAAGCATGTTCCATATGCCTTCTTAACTATCCTATTCATGTACTCTGCCAACTTCAGAGATCTGTGAATAATTACGCCAAGATCCCTCCGTTCCTCTAAGCCCAATGTCCTGCTCATTAAATACTTCCTCATCATCCAAGCTTCAAAATCTCCCCTCCACCGACCGCATCCCAAAACCAGCCCAGCTCATCCCTACCTCCCTAACCTGTCCTTCCTCCCACCTATCTACTCCTCCTACCTCAAGCCCCACCCCCATCTTCTATCTATTAGCCTCATCCCGCCTCCATGACCTGTCCATCCTCCCTGGACTGACCTATTCCCTCCCTAACTCCCCACCTACACTCACCTTTACTGGCTCCATCCACGCCTCTTTGACTTGTGTCTCCTCTATCCATCTTCTACCTGCCTCCCTCTTCCCCTCCCCCATTTCTGAAGAAGGGTCTAGACCCAAAACGTCAGCTTTCCTGCTCCTCTGATGCTGCTTGGCCTGCTGTGTTAATCCAGCTCTACACCTTGTTATCTCCCACATCTTGTCTCTTCTTTGAAAGTGCATCATCTAATGCTTATCAGGGTTAAACACCATCTGCCGCTGGTCTGCCCATCTACATCTTCCTGTAACCTACAACCATCTTCTTTACTATTAACTACTCTACCAATCTTGGTGTTGTCTGCAAAATTCTTAACATATCTTACCACAATATCATCTATAATGTTTGTTAGATACGTATATAAAGGGTCTCATTTCTGATCTTTGTGGTACACTGCTGGACCTGGAAAACATTGATGCAATTGCTAGGCTGGAGTTTCTTCTTTCTTGGCAGAATATGCTCTATTTTTTTCATGCATTTATACAAAAATCAAGCCAGTTCCTTTGACCATTTAAAAATATACAAAACAACATTATAATGGCTCAAATTCCAGAAAGATGCACACAAACAGTTTATGCCAGCTCTGCAGCTATTACTGACATCCAGATTCAGGAGATTTAATTTATACGCTTTATGTTTGTTAGTTACATACTGGCCTGGAGTATTAGATATGAGATTATGCATGGAATTTTTGAGTAGCGAGTTCCTTGTCTCAGCCAGTCTATGGGGATAGCAGGAAATGCAAAGTTACTCATTAGCCACCATTCATTATCATGTGAAGATGTCAATCAAGGATTGGTAGCAGCACTTGTGCCTCCGAAGTGCAATGGTGTAACCGCAAGAAATAGTGGCCAATTTGTTCACAGCAAGGTCCCACAAACAGCAGTGAAATCATTTTTTTTTTTTTTTAAGTGGTGGTTGAGCAATGTATGCTGTACAGCGAGAACTGTCTTGCTTGATCCACTCAAAAACATTCCAAAGGATCTTTCTTTGCACCTGAAATGGCCTCTGTTTAACAAAAAAAAAAACGAAAGAACTGCAGATGCTGCAAATCAGGAACAAAAACAAAAGTTGCTGGAAAAGCTCAGCAGGTCTGGCAGCATCTGTGAAGAAAAAAAATTATCAGACTTAACGTTTTGGGTCCACTGTTCCGAGGAAGGGTCACCGGACCTGGAACGTTAACCGATTTTTTTTCTTCACAGATGCTGCCCAAGACCAGCTGAGCTTTTCCAGCAACTTTTGTTTTTGGCCTCTATTTAATGTCTCATTCAAAACTAGATCGATCTGACAGCACAGCACTATCCTAGTTCTATTTCCTTCTGTTAATATAACATTAAATATCTTTGTAAGACAGGTTATGCTTAAAGAACAAGAGGATAACTAAGAAAAAAGGAAGGCCAGGAAGGAGTAGGACTATCTACAGACCTAAAACAGGAATTTAGGTGTGAAAGCAGAAGATGTGGGCAGGATTTTTAATTAATATTCTGTATTTGTTTTCCAATGAGAAGCAAGTATGAAGAAGGAGTGTGAAGTATTGCGTAGGACAAACAGCGAGGGAGGGAATATTAGATGTTTTGAATTCATTAAAGCGCAAGAACACCCAGAGTCAGCTGAAGTGTATGCCATACATCTAAGGGAAGGAAGAGATGAAACATGGGAGGCTCTGATCAGTTTTCTAATCCTCTCCGGCTACAGATATGGTTGTACAGGATTGCTAATGTTGTTCCATTGTTTAAAAAGGAAGGAAGGGATAGACTAAACTGATCAATCAGCTTAACCTTGATGGAGGAATAATTACTCAGACATTTTGTGTCAGTATAAATCATCATTTTGGATTAATCAAAGGCAGTTAGCAGGGATTTGCTAAGGGAAGGTCATATCTGACGATCAAATTTTTTGAAGGAGGTAACAAGGACGGGCAATGAGCAGAGTGCATTTAATGTGGTCAACATGGATTTTAGAAACGTCTGTTGGACAGGGGTTGGTAAGGTTTCACATGGCAAACTGGTCAGAACATGAAAATCTCATTAGAAACCTGGAGAAAAGTATGATTCTGAGAAGTATGCAGGAATGGAGGGACCTTGGAGTGCATGTCCACAGATAGAGATACACAGAGAAAACGGTGAAGTGGGCACAAGGTATAATTGCCTTGATTAACTAAGGCAAAGAGCACAGGATCAGGGAGGTTCTGCTCAAACCTTATAAAACACTTGTTAGATCACAGCTAGAGTACAGTGTCGAGCTCTGGTCACTGCATGACAGAAAGGTGTCATCACTCTTGATAGGATATAAAGAGGATGCATGTGGATGTTGCCAGGAATGGAGAATTTTAGCTCTGAGGGAAGTCTGAAGAAGCTGGGTTTGTTTTCACTGCAACAAGGGAGACTGATTCAATTAGTGTATAATATTACGATGTCAACCACTGGAGGGCATAGATTTAAAGTAATTAGTGGAAACTGGTGCGTTCTGAAGAAGGGTCACTGGACCGGAGATGTTAACCGATGCTGCCAGACCTGCTGAGTTTCTCCGGCAATTTCCGTTTTGGTTTCACACAGGGTCTATTGAGAAGTAGTGAGGTAACAGCCACAATGAACAAACACAGTCAGTTCAGAATGAGTCAGGGATGCAGTCTGGTATTTGAGATCTCCATGAATTTTCAACCGTCATGCAAGGTTGAAACTCGTCCTTCTATTGACTGTCATTAAAAAGACAAAGATTTTAGCAGCTCAGCAGAAACAAGTCATATCCCAGTCAAAGTTGATGCTGCTTTTCTCACCCAACCAATAAGACTGACAAGAGTTGTGTGTGACAGTGTTTATTCCACACTACAATTACCTTTTTGAGGCTGTATCCTGCGTAGAATATGATTGGAGGTAGCAAAATGTTGAAGAAAACATCAGGGTCAAAGGTTACCTGCAAAGGATACAAAAGGGTGTTTTGGCGTTAAATGTCATACAGATCCAAACAAGATCAACACCCAAGATTATATGAAGCCTGTTCTGCCATTCGAGAAGATCAAAACTGATCTGACTCACTTCAAATCCTCCTTCCCACCTACCCTGATAACTTTTCACCCCAGTACTATTTGTACTGAACCAATGAAAAGTTATAATGAAACATAATTGAAATAATTGACATTCCATCATCCCCTTCAACATTTACCTCATCCATCTCCAACACATACTAGCAGAGAGTGTACCATCTACAAGATGCACTGCAGCAACTCACCCAGGGTCCTTAAGCAGCACCTTCCAAACCCAAGACTTCTTCCAGTTGGAAGGAAAAGGGAAACAGATGCATATGGATGTTCCTGCAAGTTCCCCTCCAAGACATTCAATATCCTGACTTGGAGCTAAATCAATGCTTCTTCAATGACATTGCACTGATTTCGTGGAACTCCCTCCCTAAAAGGCATTGTGGGTCTACCTACACCACATGGACTGCAGCAGTTCAAAAGGGCGGCTCATCACCACCTTCAGCCAGCAATACCCAAATATCACAAATGAATGAAGGAAAAGGACATCAATTTAAGGAGAATACCAAAAGAACCAGACACGACAACAGAAGACATAGCACTTGGCTAGCATCTGGAATACACTGCATGAGAATGCAGGTGGAGGTAGATTCAATTGTGGATTTCATAGAAACATAGAAAAAAGGAGAAGTTGGCCATTCAGCTGTTTAAGCCTGCTCCACTAATCAATATGATCACAGCTGATCATGCAACTCAGTACTCTGTTCCTGTTCTTGTCCCATACCCTTTGATCCCTTTAACCCTAACAAATATATTTATAATACATGAATATTTTCAAGATGAAATATATAAATGTTTTGGCCTCAAGCACTCAGTGTCAGAAGAATCTACAGGTTGACTACTGTCTGGGTGAAGAAAATTCTCATCTTAGTCTTGAATGGTCTTTTAGAATTTTATAGGTTTCTATGAGCTCCCCTCCCATTCCAACGGACTCTAGTGAATACAGTCATAACTGATGCAGTCTTTCTTCATACGTCAATCCTGTCATCCCAGGAATCAGTCTGGTAATCTTTCATTGCACTCCCTCCATAGCCAGAACATCTTTCTTCAGATTAGGAGGCCAGTAGGAATCCAGGTGTGGTCTCAATAAGGCCTTGCACAATTGCAGCAAGACATCCCTGCTCCTGTACTCAAATCAACTCACCAAGAAAGCCAATGTGGTATTTACCTCTGCACCAGTGTTGCTTACTTCCAAAAGAGAATTGGCCAATCATCAGAAGAGGCAAACAATTGCAGATCTGCAGAAAAGCTGCATGGAACTAGACGTGCAGTTCTTACGAAAGAGTATATGAACACAATAGGCTGATTGGCCCTCTTCTGCACTTGAACTATTCTATGATTCTGATCCATTATCAAAGTATTACGTTGGTGAGGCCTCTTCTGGAGTATTGTGTCCAGTCCTGGTCACCCAGTTAAAGGAAGGATATTATTACAGCTAGGAGAGGGTTCAGAAGTGATTTATCAGGATGTTGCTGGGTATGGAAGGCTGGATAAGCTGGGACATTTTCCCTGGGGCATAGGAGGTTGACAGGTCACCTGACAGCTGTTTATAAAATCGTGAGGGGTATAGATAGGAAAAAGACACCTACCATTAACCCGAAGTTGGAAGAGTTCAAGACTAAGGGGCACATTTTTGTTCAAAAAGTGAGAGGAGAGAGATTTAAAAAAAAAAGACATGATGGGCAACATTTTTTTTTTAAAACTTAGAGGGTAGTTTGCATATGAATGGAGTTCCTGAGGAAGTGGTGGATGTGGGCACAGTTACAATGTTTAAAATACACTTATACAAGTACAAGTACATGAATAGGAAAGGTTTGGGGGGAAATGGACCAGGAGTCGGCATGTTTGACTTGGACCAAAAGGTCTGTTTTCTCACTCCATAACTCTGACTCTAAAATGACATTCCACAACTTCCTGAGCAAGTAGGTTGGGATATTAACTGTGATAACACAGGAATGTCTAAATAGCTCCCCTAAGGATCTTGATCCCACTTGGATAAATATGCAAGTGATTACCTTGGTTGGGGGGAGGAGGGTGGTGTGGGCAGCAGGAAATTTGGTGCCACGTTGTGCTCTTAAACAAGGAACCAGTAGGGATGCCTCTCTGAAATACACTGGGGCGATGGGAATATGAAAACCAAATTGTCCAGTCCTCATCACTCCCTAACAAACCGAGCTGGGATCTGAGCAAGGGTGGATTTCAAATGAAACTCAGAACTCAGTTCAGCTATGAAACCGCTCTTCTGCTATCCATTATCAAAAGCTCCCATAAGTTACTGTATGTGCTCGCTTGGGTCAAGTGCTAGGCAGGGACCAGAATTCAAGGAATGACTCCAGAGTAGGAATCAGGATCTCTGAAAGGAAAATGTTGGGGGTGAGGACTGGGTCAAAAAAAAAGTCAAATAAAGGAAGCTTGAAAAAAAAACCAAGTTGTACTCAATATTGTTGTTCTGATTAAGTAGGAAGTTTTCCAAAAGCACAAAAATTTGTTTACTTTCAAAAGTAGCCACCACAGTACTGCCTGACAGTGGGGAGTTTTCACTGCCCCGTTTGGTAGTTTCATGATTCAAACTGGACTGCTAGGGGAGATCCACTGCATTGCAAATTTAGTCAGATGATTATTTAGGGACTTTTTAAAGACAACATCACTTAAACTTCATGGCAACAATAGGAATAATACATGCAGAAAGAGAATTCTACCTTTCTTGGTTATCATTAGATTGCTCCACAACAGATTCTGCCTACTGTCCGTTTGCTGCACATATAATTGTATAGCACTAAGATGTGGTTTTCCTTTCATCTGTGGTCTTCGATGCTGACTCTCAAGTGATTGTTCTTCACACGTGAATGTGTTATTCAACCTCAGGAATATCACAGCTGATCTCAAGATGTCACAAACTCGAATACTGTCCCCTCCCACCATGTCCAAACTCTGAATCGCTGAAATAAAAACCTGGGCTGACTTTTCCTCCTATGTACCTCCAGGATTTTGAAGCAAACTGTCTAGATGGTAGAGGTCAAGGGTCTGGAAGGTGCTGTTGAACGAAGAACCGTGGTGAATTTCTACAGTGCATCTACAGATGAAACTCACTGCTGCTACTGTGCATCAGTGTTGGAGGGAATGAACATGATAGGAGTTGGGGTTTGCAGGGGAATGAACATTTGCAGCACAGACAGTATAAATCCAGTGGCCATGGGAGCAGCATGGGAATTGTGCAGTAATTCAACTTCTGTTTCCTCAAAACCTGTCCGTCATCCACAAGTCAGGAGTGTGATGGAAAACTATCCACCTGCCTGGATGAGTGCGGCTCCAACAGCACTCAAGAGGGTCAACATCATCCAGGACAATGCAGGCCTGGATTTGATTGACATCCAATCCATCACATTGAACATTCAATCCCTCCATGCACAGTGGCAGCAGCGAGTACCATCTGCAGATACACTGCAGAAATTCACCACGGCTCCTTCAACAGCACCTACTAAACCCATGATCTCTACCATTTAGACAGTCAAGGGCAGATGCCTGGGGGCGTCACCACCTGCAAGTTCCCCTATAAGCCATTGGCCATCCTGGAAAGAACTAGATTATTGATTCTTCGGTGTTGTTTGGTCCAAATCCTTGAACTCCCTTCCTAAAAAGTCACTGTGGACTACAGATGTTCACAGGCTCACCTTCTCAAGGACAAGTAGGGATAGACAATTAATGTTGTCCTTGCCAGCAATTTTCACAACATAGTAACAAAATAAAAAAAAACACACGAATTAAGGTGAACTCGTTTCAGTATTTCTCACAACGTATTTTGGGAGCAAGATTATTTAAACATGTTTCTTCATAAGTACAAATTACAAAAATTTGAGGCTCTTCACTTAATGTATTTAATTGGAAAGCCATATAAAAATATATTGATTGCTGTTCTTTGAAGTTTTACAAAAGCTATAATTCTTGTTTGCGTACTCAATAGGTGGCAAAGGACAGAAAATACAAGTGAAAGGAAAGTGAAAACAGTGTTGCCTCTGGCTTGGGAAGGGTTTGAAATAGGTTTTGGAAATAGTTGCCTGGGGAGTGGTGAAGGATGAAGAAGGAGGAATTGAAGCAATTTGTTACAAATTAACTCCAAAACCCCAAAGAAGACAAGAATTCAGTCTGAGCTGTAAAGTTCCACTTATCAAATTGCAACAATTGAGATGAACTAAACAGATTGCTATCACTGTTTGTGAACTCCTGCTGAGGGACAGCGTGACTGGTGGATTGGTTGCCGAGGTCACAGCTATTACAATTAAAGCAATTTATTCTACATGAAGCATCTTGGGATGCTACTGACATTTGTGATGAGATTCTGTATCAAAAAAAAAAATGCAGGTTTGTTCACTTGAAATGTCGTCCTGGGAAAGTAGAAACTCGACTTACTATTGCAACTTTTCAGGCGAGAAATAAACAAAAACTAGGGACAGGAATAAGCCATATAGCCAGTCAAGCCCCCCTCCACCATTCAGTAACATATCATGACCACCAGATGTCTTAGAGCACCTTAAAGCCAATGAAATGCATTAGAAGGTATAGTTACTGTTGGACTTTAGATTCAGACTTCACAGTTCTCAGGAGGGAGAGAACTCCAAAAACTAATGGTTTTAGTGGCAAATTAAAAGATGAAATTCCTCATCAGTGTTAAATGGGAGGCTACCTGGTTCAAGAATCCTGCAAAAAAAGGGAAATCATCTGTTCAGCAGCTATCCAGTGAAACGTCCTGGAAATTTCAGCTGTTCAACATGATCACATTTTCTTCAAATCTTCAATAAATGTATATCTAATTTGCTCAACCATTCTCACAAGACAACCCAAATTCAAATGACATCTACCAGTTCTCCTCACAAAGGGCTCCGATAATTTGCCAAAACACTATTTCCTGTTTCACAAAACTACATTGAGGCTGCCTAATTCTGTTTTCTAAATGTCCAGTCACTACCTTCTTCCAAACCTTTTCAAAATGATAAATGTAAGACTAACTGGCCTGTAGTTTCCTATTTTCTGTCTGTCTGCTTTGTTGAACAAGTGCATTATATTTGCAGTTTACAATTCTGCTGGGACCAGAATGTAATCTTCGAAAACTCCTTACAATCAATTCGTTCACCGTTTCTGCAGCAACTTTGGTTTTAGGACCCTATGGTGCAGGACAGTAGGGGAACCTGTCAGTTTTAATGATATTAAGTTTTCTCTGTACTATTTCTTCAGCAATAGCAATTACTTTAAGTTTCCTGGTACTTTTTGACCGTTTTTCAACTATCCTTGGGAAACAAATAGTTGCTTAACAGTTTAGACCTTACGTTCTGCTGAACAAAGAAACCTCATTTCCATGTGTTTCATCTTGCATTCAAAAGGACAATTAACAAGAAATACCAAAGTGAAGTTAAATCAACACTTATATTGTATGAGAGGACAGTGTTGATGGGTTGGCAAGTGGGCTCTAATTGACAGAGGCATTGTCATAGAGAATGTGCCAGTTGATCAGTGACAGTTAACTGGTATTATTATAAGGCCCGAGCCATTTGTTCACAGTGCAACCTTGCTGCAGAAATGGAGTGCATCAAAACCAACTTGCAAGATAATAACTACCCTGCTAAGATAATTTCACATTGCACAATGTACAAATTTATGAACAGGATTAAAGTTGTCACTCTTGAGACTTAAAAGTACCCAGTCTCACTTACCCTACCCTTCCAGGGTGGTCTATCTCAAAGTTTTGAACAATATGTGACACTAGCTGTTTCACATTGCTACTATGTGGAAGTAACACAAGTGGTGTTCACCACCAACAAGATACTGCCATTAAAGAGACATTCGTTCTAACGCACAAATAAGTAATGTGGTTTATGTAGTTTCAGTGCGGGTATGATGCTTAGTCTAAAGGCTGTACATCCCAGAGACTGGCAGATCAAATGAAAAAGAATATCACTCTTCACAAAAAATTACCAACTGAACCCAACCAGCCTATGATTACAATACATTCTGTCTGCACATACTGTATTTGTTTCAACTCAACAAAAGCAGGTAATAATTTTTGGCTCAATTTTCAGAGCAATAACTTGTCAAAACGGAGTCAATCTGCTTGGTTTAAAATTTAAACGAAGCTTGACAATTAACCGTCAGTTGTCATCAGCTGGAACATTTTCCACAGCAATGACTCTACCAGAGCCCACTTACCAACTACTCAGCACTTTCCTCTCAGTAAAAATGTTGCCTTTCCTTTAGTTTAGTACTTCTTACAAATTAGCCTGGTGAGTGCAAAATGAAAAGCTGTGTCAAAATTGTGTCATTTTTCAGTAATATTCTTGGAATGATTATAATGCATTCTAACATAAAAAGGAAACTTTAAAAAAAATTATTCAAATTGGCTGCCTATTCCTTGTTTTCCACTATAAATTCTCTAGTCTCACTCTTAAGATGCAAATGTTTCCTTCAGTTATTTTCTTCCTTTTTATATGCTTGGTAGAAGCTTTTATTATCTGGTTATACACTCGCACCAATTATTTCTTCCCTCTTCATTAATTCTTCATCATCTTTTACTGGTTCCATCTACTACAAATTGTGGTGACATTGCATTGCATTTTTTTTTCCCCGAGTTGGAAGCCATTCTTAACATCTTTCGTTAAGCACAGATGGTTCTTCATTCATGGAGCCTTTTTTCCTTAATGGAATACATCTACATTGAGAATTATTAAATATGTCCTTAAATATCTGCCATTGTGCATCTACCATCTTACCTTTTAATCTGTTTTCTAGTCCACTTTAACCAGCACTGTCTTTATACCTAAATAATAGACTTTCATGTTTAAAACCTAGATTTACACCCAGGTTTCTCACTCAAAATGAAAGTGAAATTCTAGGTTATGATCACTTTTTCCTACATTTATTACCATGAGATCATTTATTAAGTCTCATAGCGCATTACCAGATCTGAAACAGCATGTCCGGTGATTCCTGAACGTATTATTCCAAACAAAAACTGTCCTACATGTACTCTATGAATTTGTCCTCAAATCCATCTTCACCAATTTGATTTGTCCAATGTATAAAGGAAGGTTTGAATTGCCATTATTATGGATATTTTTCTTACAAATTCCAGTATTTCATGATTTATACTCTGTACTATGGCATAGTTAGTGACTTCTTCCTCCTGCTATTTCTCAGCTCCACACAAACTGGTTGTACATCTTGATCCTCTGAGCCAAGATCACTTCTCCTTACTGCACAGAGGCCATCTTTCATTAATAGATACATGCCACCTAATTTTACTTTCTACCCACCCTTACTGAATCTCAAAAAAAAAGAAGTCAATAAAAAAAAGTAAGGAAAATGCAAATGCCAGAGATCTTTTAAAAAAGTACATCTGGAAATTCACAGGCCAGTCAATATCTGACAACAGAAGGACAGGGAGGACCACTTGAGGAATGAAGGCCAACCAAGCCAGATTCTGCTGTCAGTTTGGATTTCTGGGATCTTTGCTGCTATCTTTGAGAATCAAAGCCCTCAATGCTGGCCATGGAAGTTTATTTTCTGAACAGAAGTCTTGAAGGCAACTCTTTCTTTAAACAAATGATGTCAGCAGTTTCATTAAACTTTGAAGTCAAACTGGAGACTGCAGTACAGAAGATTAAGAAGGTCGCTTACCTTTCTCAACATGTCATCTTGTGCCACGTTGTTTATTTCCCTGGAATTGATTTCTCCTTTCAGGGAATATTCATAAAACTTTCCACTGACGTTTACCAGTATTGTGGTCACTGCCCTGTTCTCCAGTGCACAACCAATAGGAACCTTGCCATGACCATTCGTGGACGGGATGCCATACCTGAGGATCACTCCCACCAGGAGTCCTTGAAACAAACACAACAGTTGTTAAGGAACACACACTCATTACACAACATATTTATAACAGTTTTTTTTCCACGTCAGGTTAGCTCCAGGATTGCTAGAACTCAGGAGGTTTATAAATCTGTAGAATTGTTTACTGCAAAGTGCTGAGCCATTCAGGATATACAAGACTAAGAAAAACACATGTTTTAATCAGTAAGGGAATCAAGGGTTATAAAGGAAAAGGGAATGGTAGGAAGGTGGCTTCACCCAGAGGGTGGCAGGAATCTGGAACTCACTGCCTGCAAGGGCAGTAGAGACAGAAACCTTCAAAGAAGGGGTTGGTCACTCTGTTGGGACTATAGTATAGGCCCCAAATCGCCAGCGGGCACTAAAGGAGCAAGATTTGTCGAGAGATTACAGATACCTGTAGGAATAATAGAGTAGTACTGGTTGGAGATTTTACTTTGGCCTGTATTGAGTGGGCCACTCAGAGTGTAAAAGGTCCAGACAGGGGAGAAATTGTCAAACATGTCCAAGAAAGTTTCCTAAAATCAATATGTAGAGGACCCTACTCGGGAGGGTGCAACATTGGACCTCCTTTTAGGAAACAAGGTCAGGCAAGTGACTGAAGTGTCTGTCCAAGAGCACTTTGGGTCCAGTGACCATAACTTCCTTAGTTTTAACATAATTATGGGAAAAGCTAGGACAAGTCCACAGGTGAAGGTGCTAAACTGGAGCAGGGCCAATTTTGGCGCCACTAGGCAGGATCTAGCATAGGTCAAATGGGTGAATCGGTTTGAAGGAAAAGGAATGACTGGCAAGTGGGAGGCTCTTAAAAGTGTGATATCAAGAATCGAGGGAGAGTATGTCCCCGTGACAGTGAAGGAAAAAGCTGGCAGGTTTAGGGGTCGCTGGCTGACGAGGGATATTGAGGCTCTGGTCAGGAAAAAGAAGGCAGCATACATTGGGTTTAAGCTAAAGCTAAAGCGGGCTCAAGTGAATCCCTAGATGACTATAAAAAGTGTAGGAGCACACACAAGAGGGAAATTGGATGCGCAAAATGAGGGTATGAGATGGGTCTGGCAGATAAGGTTAAAGCTAAATCCAAGAGGTTCTATAGCTATATAAGAGTACGAGGGTGGCTAGGGAGAGAATGGGTCCCATTAAAGTTCAGCACGGCCATCTACGTATGGAGCCGCAGGAGGTGGAGGAGATTTTTAATGAATGCGTTTCCTCAGAATCTTGGATGCTAAGGAAATAAGGGAAACAAGTGGGGATGCTTTGGACCACATACATATTACCAGAGAGAGGAGGTGTTTGCGGCCTTAAAACGCATTAAGATCGATAAATCCCCTAGACCTGATCAAGTCCATCCTCGGACATTGTGGGACGATAGGCAAGAAATTGCAGAGGCCCTCGCAGAGATTTTTGCTTCATCTTCAGCAACTGGTGAAGTTCTGGAAGACTGGAGGGTGGCTAATGTTGTCCCATTGTTAAACAAAGGTAGCAAAGACAAGCCACTGAGCCTGACATCAGTGGTAGGCAAGTTATTGGAGAGGATACTGAAGGTCAGGATCAACCAACATTTGGATAGTCAAGGTCTGATTAGGGATAATCAGCATGGATTTGTGCGCGGGAAGTTATGTCTGACAAATCTTTTAGTTTTTCAAAGGAGGTAACCAAGAGGATAGATGAGGGTAGAGCAGTGGATGTTGTCTATATATGGACTTTGGTAAGGCCTTTGACAAGGTCCCACACAGCAGGCTAATCAGGAAGGTAATGTCTTACGGGATCCAGGGAGAGCTAGCTAATTGGATTCAAAATTGGCTGGAAGGTCCTGAGGAGTGTTGTGGAACAGAGGGACCTAGGAGTACAAGTACATATAGTTTGCTGAAAGCAACGTCACAGGTAGACAGGGTGAAAAAAGGCATTTAGCATGCTGGCCTTCATTGGTTGAGGCATTGAGTATAGGAGTTGCGATGTTGTATTACAACTGTATAAGTCATTGGCGAGGCCGCACTTGGAGTATTGTCTACAGTTTTGGTCACCCTGTTATAAGAAAGGCATAGTTAAACTGGAAACTGTGCAAAGAAGATTTACGAGGATGTTGCCAGGACTAGTAGGTCTGAGTTATACGGAGAGGTTGGTTAAGATAGGACTTTATTCCTTGGAATGTAGGAGAATGAGGGGTAACCTTACTGAAGTGTATAAAATCATGAGGGACATAGATAGGATGAATGCTTTTAGTCTTTTTCCCAGGGATGGGGAATTGAAAACTAGAGGTCATAGGTTTAAAGGTGAGAGGGGAAAGGTTTAAGACTGACCTGACGGGCAACTTCTTCACACAAAAAGAGTGGTGCATATATGGAATGGGCTGCCAGTGAAAGTGATTGAGGCAAGTACAGTAGCAACATTTAAAAACATTTGGATCGGTACATGATGGGAAGGGTTTAAAAGGGATATGGATCAAATGCGGGTAATTGGGACTAGCTGAGTGGGCACCATGGACCAGTTTGGGCCAAAGGGCCTGTTTCCATGCTGTTTTATTGTAGGACTCTGACTTAAATGGGGCGTGAGGCAAAATGCTAGCTTCCTGCTGGCAAAACGAAAAATTGGGAACAAGTTGGAAGGGATTGCAGCTCCCAATGACAAACAATGGAAAGCTATTTTTCATGCATTAACCTGACATGCACACTCACTAAAACATAGGTTTTTCTGCCTTTAGGATTAAGTTGCCAGCATATTATAAACAGGTGCCTTCAAGATTCATGATTGGCATGCAGCTGGTGAGCTCATTTTCCTCGTGGATTTGCCATGAGTTGCAGCTGCTTTTCTAGTCTGGGAACTTGTTCAATGAGGGGAGAGAAGGCTGAGCTGCTGTGTTGGGTTCAGTTGTTGACTGTCCTGCAAAGTTGGGGAAGGGAGGTTGGAACATGGAGGTCCTCAGAGGCATTGTGGGGGTTGGGGGCGTAGAAACAGAGAGAGAGACCTCAATGACAGAAGGATTACTGACGAAGGCAGCACAAACATAAAACAGGGAATATTGGGGGCGTTGGAATCAGGTCAAAAAAGTAAAACTGGGAGAGAGTCAAGGGGATAACCAAGGACAGGTCAATGGCGATAGTGGGAGGGTTGAACTTGATGTTGGGAGTGAGCTTGACAAGGACAGGGTTGAAGATGTTTGGAACACACCACTGCAAGAAGATTCCACCCATTGTACAGTCATTTATTTCACTGTTGTTTGTTGGAGCTCACTGTGTGCAATTTAGCTGCTGTGTTTTGTATGTCACAACAGCGACTATATAGTGCAGAAAAAATGTACTTCACTGGCTGCCAAGCACTTTGGGGCATCATGAGCTCCTGCAAAGTACTACTAGACATACAAGCTCTTTCTTTACAGTAGGGTACAGGTGTGCACCAAGACCGTAAGACACAGGAGCAAAAGCAAGCCATTCAGCCTATTGACTCTGCTCTGCCACTCAATGAGTGCGGCTGATCTGAAAACCCTCAACTTCACTTTCCTGCCTTTCCCCGACAATCCCTGATTCTCTTACCGATTAAAAATCTCAGCCTCCTATATATTAAATGACCCTGTCAATTCCCCCAACAATCTTGTATGTTTCAATAGGGTTGCATTTCATTCTTCTATATTACTACGAGTACATGCCTAGACTACTCAACCTCTCCTCATATGACTGCTTCTATACCAGACGTTAGCCTAGTGAACCTTCTCTGGATTGTCTCCAATGCCAGTACATCTTTCCTTAGATTATGAGTCGACAGTATACCAGCTGTGGTCTTGTATAGCTTTAGCAAGACCTTCCATATTTTTATATTCCATTCCCTTCAAACTCAAGGTCGACATTCCACATGCCTTCCTTTATTAACTGCTGGACTTGAGGATTCTAGCTTTGTACGATTCATGGATGGGGACTCCCAAATTCCACTGTCTAATGGCTTTCTGCAGCCTTTCTCCTTCCAAATAATATTCAGTTTCTCTATTCTTCCTGCCAAAGTGCATAACCATATATACCCACATTATATTACCCACTCACATAGCTTGTTGATATTCCTCTTCTTACCAGTACAGATCTGTGATTCCCCATTTGGGAGTGTGTGGTATGAGCTACTCTTATGGAGAAAGGCCACTGAGCAGAAGGATGTGTGGGAAGGAGATGGAAGTAGAAACTACGACAGCGGGGCTCCCAGTCACCACATGCCTCTTTGTTTTCTCACACTGCCACTTCAAAAAGGCAGCGTTTATATGAATCGCACAGTCTGTAGACGACAAAGAGTGCACACATGCAAAGGGAAAGCCAGTGTGATTGGTAACCAATTGATTGGAGCAGCTGGTCTCAGACATGGAATATGCATTTAGAAAAGTGCTCGAGATTAAGATTTTTGAATAAATCTAATGCATTTAATTCCAAGTCATTCTCACCGTGGAGCAAAAATAAAGGAGGCTGACTCCTTGTGTCAAGCGCCCCCCTGCCCACCCCATCAGACCTGGAGATGACCCATCCCACGCCTGTTACCCGTGCCAGCATTCCCTTTCCTGACTCTCGGCACAGGCCTGTCTGCTCCCACTCCTAGCAATATCCTTTTTTCCTGGCTTCTACAGAGGAGGTTGGCGGGGGGGGGAGGGGGGCGGTGAGGAAAGCTGCATTCGTCAGCTGCCGGTCCCCTCCCTCCCCAGTCTCTGTCAGTGGTGGAAATGCAGATGTTTCCTCAGCTGATGTCACGAATAGAGTTAGGGCAGGTGTGGGTTACATTTTGGTATCATGCGTAATCACTCCATTTCAGTGAAGCAAAAATCAGCGTATACGAGGACTGGTTCATCTGCCCAGCTTAGATTAAATCAAGGAATGAGCTAATCACAGGGTCGTGAGGGTGGGGATTGTTAATTAAGCAACAAGCCATTTAGGAGTAGGATTTGTCACAGTCACCAGTGACTTCTTATGGGACCATGTACCAAGCCTTTGACTCGATTCCTTCGGATTTTATTTGACCAGATTTTTGG